GGAGTCGCGATTGAGTTTTTTCAATCAATATTCTGTTTATGTTCCCAATAGAGACTCTTTTTTGAGTTTTTTTCATACGCGAAATTACCACATATCTGTTTGTGTTCCCAAACACCGTCGAGGAAATCAAAATATCGATCGAAAAATGCAGTTAGCCGAGCAATTGGTACTCGATCTCAGTACTCCACCAAAGTCACCGCCTGCAACCACCTTCGTCACAACCACCATCCACAAGTTAAGGGTTAATATATCAAAGCCCATGCTTATCCAGACAGACCCTTGATGAAAACAGGGAGGTTAGTTTAGCTTCAGCTCTTATAGCATTGTCATGTTAACTGAATCGAAGATAAAACCATGTAAATTTGTGTTTGATGCGGATTTCTTTGACATAAACACCAAGGTTTTGGGCTTTGTTTCATCAGTTTCTTTTAATAATGAAGTTCATGAGTTTTTTTGTGAGTCTCATTGGTTATTTTGTTTTTGTTTTCTTATATATTTTTGTTTATTTCATTTTCGAGGTTTGATTTTTTTTCTTCTCATCTGGGTTCGAGATAGATTGTTGTGTTTTCTCAAATATCTTGATATTGGGTGCATTGCCAATAGAATGGAAAACTCGACAAGTTAGCCACTTGAAGCTTATCTTGACGAAAATGATTAGGAAGAACCATCTAAATTAGAGTATAGTGATGAAGATAGAGAAAAAGCTTTGGTGCAGATGAAACTGCTGATGAATCTGATGTTTTTCAGGATGGTTTGTAGGATCTACAAGTTCTTGATAAATGGCTATTAACTTGATGAAAATACATGAAAAACAATTGTTATTTCCAAAGAATTTTCCAGTGCTATGTTGATATCTCCATTTGTAGAGAGTCATTCATGATGCATCAAGTAAGTACATTGTTTCTGTAATTTAAGGATTCTGACTTTTGTAAGAATTCTTTCTGATTTGCTTGAGAAATTAGTATAAAATAGCGTCTTTTTGAAATATATTTTTAACATATTGTTTTTTATTCTTTTTCCCTTAACATAGGTTCCAACCTCAGGGTCCCCATGTTCATCCTCAATGCAGTATATGATTATTGGCCAGTAATTAGTAGTGTAGACTCTAGGTTTCATGATGATTTAGAGGTAATAAGTTAAAACTTATACATAATAATCATATTGTTGTATAGACTATGAGTAGTGAGTAGAAGTTATTCCATTCCCCATTGTTGTCTTTTATGCGTGTAAAGTCACATTAGTCTTTTTCTTGCATTAATATCAAATAAACTAATTATATTTGTTAGTAGAGCTTCCATGTGGCATGCTTGATGGGATTTCACTTATTAGATTTAACTACTTAGTCGTCAACTTTTTAAAAGTATCATTTCCCCTTGGACTAAATCTAAAGCACATACAAGGTTGTTATCACTAATAGTGAAATAAAATGCATGATGTTTAAAATAATGGTTTATACTTTGAAAAGTTTAGCTAATTCTAACATTGTACTTTCAAAGTACAATCAGTTAATAGCAACGTAACTAATTCTAGCACAATACATTGCTATATTAGACATTATTTGAAATTAAAAATCATTAAATTAGGAGCATGAAATAAAAGTAAGATGCTATATTAGACAACAAAATGAAAGAATATTGTTTTTTCTTAGAGCTAAATGCGAGAAATAGCAATGTACTTTCATTTTTTTATCTAATATAACATCTTACTTTGATTTTTAATTCATAAATGCTTTTCTTAATTTTCTTATTTTTTAAAACTTTTTTCTTATTAAACCATTATACTTTGAAAGTATAATGTTATTGTGGTTAAAAAACAATATGTGTATATTGCTACTATGTGTAAAATGTTGAAAGTACATTTACATTTATTGAAGGAAGCAAAGCTTACCATTCTCTCAATTTATTACTTTCACCATCTTCACTTGACTTTCCACTCTTTGATAATCTTATTTTTTTTTGTGGTGCAAGTTCTAATTTGCTTTAAAACTACATAATCAAGGATATCAACTTACTGTCATTAATGTCCTAACTGAGAAAGGAGAGAAAACAATATCAATGTACACATACGAATTCGCTGCCTCCCATTCGGTGTAATTACATGATGGTACAACAAAGATAACATTAAGATCCAAATCCTCTTCTTTCGTGTCACCAAAATATCCTACAAAACAGGCTCCTTCACTAACTTCTTCTCAATTTATTTTTATTTTTATTTTTTATTATTTTTTAACGAACTGGTAGAAAAAAGAAAATGAGTTTGTTTTCTAACGTTTAACACCAAATCAACTTTAGATAAAAATGTATAATACTACAAATGAAATTTTTTATTTTTATTTATAATTAGATAATTCCAAAGTATATTATATCTTTAACAAGTCTAATAAATATATAAACACTTTGAGTATATAAATTTGCTTAAATGGATCGTTAAAACATAATGTTTAACAAATTTTTAAACACCTTTATTTATTAGAAATATGTAGTATTTAATTCATTAAGTTGTGACAAAGTTATAATCTCATGCTTAAAGAACATCTTAGACATTGCACCCAACATAGCCATATGGTTGGGTTTTCAAATTGGTAAAATATAACTAATAACATATTTTTATTATTTTGTTTATTATAATATCATAAATTGGGGTTCTTTTACTACAACATTGTACATTGAAAATTGTATCATTTATAGTAATTTAATTAAATTAAAGCAATTTTTACTATTAGAATAATAGATTGGTTGTGTATGAGAACAAAAAACCATTAAGTAATAGTATTTTAATAACGTGATATCTTATAAATTATTTTACTTTTATACATTGTTATTTTCATTTTTATAGAACAAATGATGTTACTTTCACCATAAAACTAGGACATTACTTTCATTTTGATGTCTGAGAGTTGGGTCTCTCATTAAAATGTTAATTTTATTCTAATTTTTTTTTTTATTTCATAAAAAATATTTATATGAGTTTTTTTGTTTATTCCTTTATACCAAGTAACTTACATTTTCTTTTAATATTTTAAGTTGTCAACATTTGTATTCAATTTCATTCTACAACATGATAATATAAAATTAAATGTCAATGATACAATATCAAATTAAAATGATAATGATTAAGTTATGATCAACACATCAAACATTGTATGAAAATAAATGATGGCTATGTGTGTATGGTTGGTGCATATCATTTTAATTAACTGAAGTTTAAATTTATTGTAACATTTCAAGTCTTGACCCTTTTGTCCTGGGTAGCCTATCATTGAGTTTTTGGGTTATTTGGTTGTTGATGTTGTTTTTATGATGTTTTTGTTGGTTTTTAAGAGATTCCTCTAACATTCTATTAGTGGATTGATATATGAAAACCTTATACTTTTTTGGTCCACGTCTTTATCATTTTGCCCTTAGTGCAGTTTTGTTGAAATTCACTCTTTTGATGGTGTTGCCCCTGCAATTACTTCAAATTACTTAATTATATATTATTTATTTATTTTTATTAAATGAACTATTGCATCGTTGTATACACATGATTTCTTTATTTGGATAATAGAAAAATTATACATTTATGTATCCATTATTGATCGTCCATATGTTTTGAACTTTATTAAGTTATATATTTCATTTTACCACATCATAATTTTATCAGTAATCAACAAAAAGAACTTTGTTTATATATTCAAAACATATTTAATAAGATTTATAAATTTAATTTACTATTCATATCTCCGTTGATGCTGTCTAATTCTATTTAAATTGGCCTATGTTCCAATTTTTTATTTCAATTCTATTCATATTTGCATCCATTTCGATTTTAGTATTTCAATTTCCTTAAATTTACGTAATGTTTGAAGTGCTACTCATAAGTTTTATAAACCAAGTGCTTTTTATCCCGCCCAAAATAACAAAGTGAATTTCCACAAATACCCTTCTGCTTCAGCTTTAATAGTTATGGAATTCCTTGCTACGGCAATCAATTCCAAATTGACGTTTGAAGTTTGAATTGATATAACAAATTATCAGCAATCAGTTCCAAATTTATAGCAAGAAATCAGGAATTCCATAGCAAGAAATCATATCCAAACTTAATCACGATGAAGGTAGATTCTCTCTTAAACCCTAACCCTCTTCCCTCTCCATCAATGGTTTGTTGCACGAAACAACGTTCGAAACGCTACATCCAGGTAATTAGCCTTTGATTTTAGATTTAAACTAAGCTACAATCGATTTGGGTGTAATTTCTTTTTTGTAATTGGTCTTGGAGTCGCGATTGAGTTTTTTCAATCAATATTCTGTTTATGTTCCCAATAGAGACTCTTTTTTGAGTTTTTTTCATACGCGAAGTTATTTTTCAGATTTAAACGTTAACATGGGTAGTGGTGATTCTAACATTATCTTTTCTTGGGGGCACTTTTGAATTTTTTCAAAAACATAAAGGGAATTTTTTATTTTTTCCAAAAATTTTAAGGGCCTTATATGTATAAAACTTTAGTCATCGGGGGCATGTGCCCCCACTTTTATACATTTGCATCCGCCACGAACCTGGATTCTTAGTTTGAAACATTATACAATATTTTTGTTTATGCAAATACAAATAAAAACACCTACTATGCTCAAAATAGAGAAATAAGAAAATTAAGGAAATTATATTTAGATAAAAAGAAAATTACCATATAACAATATCATTATCATTATTTACTGTGTTTTTTTACTCTATTTAAATTTATATTGTATTGTATAAAATCATAATTTTATCAAATGTCTATATATACAAAACATATATCGGTATCCACAACAATGTATATATATTAATTTTAACTAATCATTATAAAATTATAGACAAAACTTCTCTCTTTGTAATTTAATAATTTTTTATAAATTTTTTATTTTTTATTATCATTTTAAATTATCAACAGTGTTTTTCTTTTTTACCCGTGGTTTCACGGGTTTTAACCTAAACCCTAGTCTTTTAATATACAAAGATTCATATTTATAATTTATCATAGAATGTCTTCAAAACAAGAGGAAGTTATTCGTCCAATTGCCAACTTTCCTCCTGCCATTTGGGGAGATCAATTTCTCACTACTGATGAGGTATTTATATATTACTACAAATCATATAATTAAATTTATTTCTATATCTTTGCATGCTTACAGAAACTTTGATTATGATTTATGAGTGAATGTAGCAAGTAGAGCAACCCAAGATAGAAGAAATGGTCATTAATTTGAAGGAACAAGTGCGGAAAGATTTAGCCAAGGCTTGATGTTCCTACACAGCATACGAACTTGTTGAGGTTGATTGATGCAATCCAAGGCTTCGGCATAGGCTATTATTTTGAAGAGGAGATTGAGAAGTCCCTTCAACATATTTATGATACATATGGTGATGAATGGAATGGTGATAGCTCTTCCCTTTGGTTTCGACTCATGCGTCAACATGGCTTTAATGTTACATGTGGTGAGTACATATCGTCCCTAATCATTTTATTCTAATCCTACAAACGTTAATGATTTCATTTATATGAATTGACACAGCTTTTTGCAATAACTACAAAGACGAAAATGGAGACTTTAAGGAATCCTTAGGCAATGATGTTCAATGCATGCTTGACTTGTATGAGGCAACGTACTTAAGGGTACAAGGTGAAGTTGTACTAGACGATGCTCTTGTTTTTACAAGATCTCGTCTTGGTGACATATCAAAGAATACTCTTTACAGCAGCCCTAATTTATATACCCAGATACAGGAGGCACTAAAGCAACCCATACGAAAAAGGATGCCAAGACTAGAAGCGTTACACTATATTCCTTTCTATGAACAACAAGATTCGCATAACGAACTTTTACTTAAACTTGCCAAGTTAGGGTTCAACTTGCTTCAATCGCTGCACAAGAAGGAGCTTAGCCATGTTTCCAAGTATATACATTTATCCCCTAACCTACCTTCTCTCTTTAGTTTCATTCTCAATATATCAAAATTAACCAAAATCTTTCATGTTCTTTCCTTTAATTTTCTGTGTTCTTTATTGCATATTTGGATTGTTTTCACAGACTTGTACTTGTGTATTTATTTTTCATAGGTGGTGGAAAGGTCTTGATGTCCCAAACAATCTGCCTTATGCAAGAGACAGAGTTGTTGAATGCTACTTTTGGGCAGTCTGTGTATGCCATGAGCCACAATATTCTAATGCTAGAGTTTTCTTAGCAAAAGTGATATGCATGCAAACTTTACTTGATGACACATATGATGCGTATGGGATTTACGAAGAGCTTGAGATCTTTACCGAAGCAATTCAAAGGTATGCACACGGCACAAAGGTGAACGTAGACTAATGGACAGATCCGTCAAACAAAATCTTTTAATCAATCAACTTGTAATTAAATCAATTACAGGTGGTCGATTTCATGCTTAAATGTGCTCCCTGAATACATGAAACTGATATACCAAGTAATAATGGATATGTATAAAGAAATGGAAGAACTCATTGGAAAGGAGGGAAAAGCACATTACATTAACTATGCCAAAGAGTTTGTCAGTTCCAACACCTTTCATTTGTCATATATTTTCATAATTAAGATACTCCATAAGCATGTAACTAAACACAATGTCATGTACAGATGAAAGCATCTGTTAGCGCCTACATGAGAGGCGAAATGGCTAAATGAGGGTACATCCCAACTAAGGAAGAGCACATGTCAATTTCAACCATGAATAGCGGTTGTAGCCAGGATGTTATAACATGTATTATCGGCATGGGTGATATTGCGACACACAAGTCAATCGAATGGGCAATCAATAGACCTCTTCTTTTAAAATCTATATCTGTAATTGGTAGACTCATGAATGATATTGCTGGCCACAAGGTAAAATATTCATTATAAAGCTTTGTTATTTTTGTTGCTTCATAACGTGATTAATAATGGTCCTTTTTAGTATGAAAATACTAGTCGGTTTTTGTATGATTTCTAGCTAGTTTTAAAAGACTAATAGATTTTGTTACTACATATGTAGAAAGAGCAAGAAAGAAAGCATGTGGCATCTAGTCTTGAAATTTACATGAAGCATGATGATGTTACGGTAGAGTATGTCCATGAATTATTAAGCAAGCAAATCGAAGATGCATGGAAAGATATAACCAAAGAATGCCTCGTGTGTAAAGATGTTCCGTTGCCTCTAAGAATGCTTTTCATAATCTACGCAAGGACAATGAATCTTCTCTACGACAGTAATATTGATGGTTTCACACATGTGGGAGAAGAACTGAGTAATCATATCCAGTCGTTGTTTGTTCGTGCTTTGAGTATATGACTTTCAGTTCTTTATGCCAGGTAGTGTTTGAAACCCTCAAGAACTGTCCATCTTCTTGAAAATGGATGATTGTGGAAGTCCGGACATTGAATAAGATCTCCATTGGTGTTTGATAGTCTCAAATAATTGATTACCGCCTTTTAATAACCAAAGTAGATGTATTAATTACGGTGCATGTTTCTATTGGATTTCACTTTGTTATTTGTATTCCTAAGTTTCACTAATAAAAATTATTTCATGTTTAACATAATTGCTTTCTTACTTTATAAAGTTATGGCATAAAGACTATAATTACTCATGACCCACACCAACCAAATTTATAAAATACAAAAACAAAACAAAAAAAAAACAAAAACAAAAACAAAAAACAAAAAACAAAAAATTGAATTTAAATGAATAAAAGAAGGGAAGTAAGTAATCAACTGAACACATCAAGGCTGTGAAGACCAGTATAATTTTTTCGACGGTCACTTTCTACTTTACAATACCGGGATAGGAAGATCACAATCAGTCCATTTTCTTTCACTGTAACTATTTTGACGGTTAGAATTTCAATTATGCAAACTAGCAAGAAGTTAGAATATATAAAAAAAATGACATAGAAAGACAATTTTGTAACATACCTTATTAATTTTCAATTTACTTCTGTTGAGCAATAAATTATACTGGGTCTAAACACCATGCGAGTCCAATCCTCATAATTCATGTTTTTTATACTTTTAAAACAAGTAAAAGAACATTAAAAAAAGCTTTGTAAGGAGTTGAACATAAACCATATTATGACCGGACACCTAAATGTCATATACATTAACAACTTTAGTTAACTGTAACGTTATTTATAACCAGACCGCCCAACCCAAACAAATTAAACCTGCCTGAGCGTACATAGGGTCCAAACTTATGGAGGGCCCAAATATTTTTCAACCTGCTCAACCTCATAATTAATTTTTTTCTTTAAAAACAAGCAAAAAAATATATTAAAAAGCTTGTAACGGACTTGAACACAAATCATATTAGAACCACATAAATGTCAAATATCTTAACCAATTAAGCTAAAGGTAACTTCATTTGTAATCAGGCCCGACCATCAAGCTCGACCTGCACAAACTTATAGTTTGGGCTCAAATATTTTCAACCTGCTCGACCTCATAATTCATGTTTTTTTTACTTTAAAAACAAGCAAAATAGAATTAAAAAAAAAAAGCTTTGTAACGGAGCTAAACATAGAGCATATTAAAACCAGACACCTACTGTCATATACCTTAACCACTTTAGCTAAATGTAACTTTGTTTATAACCAGGCCTTACCTAAAATAGGTTCAACATGCTAGCGCATAGTACCCAAACTTATAGAGGGCCTAGCCTAAATATTTTTCAAGCACTAATCTCTTAATCATCAAGAGGAGGGCTTGATCGCGGGAATTGAATTAACATGAATTTTTTTGGAAACAAAATATCCTTCAAATGATTTTCTCACAAATTAACCAAGAAATACATGTCACTAAGGCACAACCCTGCTTTCGGTACATCAAATACTTTCATGTATGATGTACACCTCTCAAGATCAACCCAAGCATACATGTGATCATCAACTTGTCAATCTAGAATCCAACAACGTTCTTGAAACAGAAACTTCTTAAATCTCACATAAAGTCACTCTAACTTTCATGTCAAACTCAAACTTCAACAATTCCTCTTTATTGTTTTGGTAAATCAATATCTTCAGTCAAAGACTTTGTTCCAAAGATTAAAAATATATGTTGTGGGTATTATGGAATCCTCAACGTACTCAAGATACAAGTTTCTTGGGTTTGGGCTTCACTCCTAGTTGGGTTGCCAATTTATGTTTTCATTTTATGTTAAATGCTTGGGATTTGTTGAACAATAGGACCAAGTTTGCTAGGTCGACTAGTATTAGAAACAAGGACTGGTATTAGAAACAAGGGCTTCTTTGTGTGAAAAACTTTTGAAGGAGATTGGAGAGACGCAAGAATTTTTTTTAGGGTACTTAAAAAATCGTCCAGTTCTAGTCAGCCTTTGGAGAATCGTCGGTGCGAATTTGTAACCATCGAAGTGATTTGCATACAACAATTTTTCTCCATACATAATAATTTGTGTTTTATAGAGTTGTACAATACAACTTCTACAAATGCATGTAGTTGTTCCAACATGTTTTTCTGTTGATTTTGTTTTATCAAGAAACTCTACAACTTGATTTATGCTTCAAGGGCTGTTTTAACGTTAATAATTGGTTGGTAATTTGTGTCTAATTGTATTGGTAAAGAACTCTCATGTATTCTTTGATTTAGTGATAGTGGATTGATTTCTGGACTTGGTCCTATGATTTTTACTCCTTGTTTTGAGGTGAGTTTCCACTTTAAAAATCTTGGCGTGATTCATTGATTTACTTTAATTATAGTCCGTCATTAGTAGTTTATTGTTTCCTGGAATATTTGAAAGTATAATTCCCTAACATGTTATCACAAGTGAGATACTATATATGGTTAGTGGTTACTCCATTGAATCTTCATCTCTCTCATTAGTATCTATTCTATATACTTAATTATATAGTTAGTGTCTAAATCATCAAGCTGTTTCTTTAATTTAGTGTTGATTGTTTGTGTGTTGGTGTTACCATTATTAACATTAAAATGGATTCAAGGGAATTTTAGTCATTTAGTAGAAGAATTTGTTGGGTGACAACAAAACAAGATAAGCACTTCAGACAAATATCAAAAAACAAACTTCGGTGAACTCACAAAACTTCTGAAAAATGTAAATCAAAAGAACACGATATTTAACGTGGTTCGGTCAAGGTGACCTACATCCATGGGCGAACGAGATAGATGATTTTATGAACTTTTAGGAACTATTACAAGCACTCAAAATTGTATCTTACTTTGAGCCCTCACAGAAATCTAGCGATTTACAATGATGGGGGTATGAGCCTATTTATACTTGAGGGTTCAAACTTAAAACCCTAATGGGCCAAGCCCATTGGCCCATATGCCCATGAATGGTGACAACCAATCATATTCCGCCATGCAGCATCTTCTGGAACATTCTTCCATGTCATACAACCCATGAGCATCAGCAACACACATGATGGAGCACCTTGTGCCATAGTGGAGCATTATGATGTACAAGTGGCACATCACAAACACTAATAGCCCAACATCTATCATGGTGGCACAACATGGTGTAATCCTTGAGCAATACCAACTTTTGAGCATCCTTGAACGTTCTTGAGCATCATAGAGGACTTCATAGCATACTTGGCTCATCAGGGATACCATGCCTCATCAAGGAACCAAAATGACCCATCTTTCACCATGATGGCGCAACATGTGCAAGGATGGCGCAAAATGTTTCAAGTGTAGCGCAAGAACTTCTAGGTTGGAGTAACATCACCACCTTGGCACAACAAGAACATGCTTGGCGCAACAATATACTCCATGGCGCCAGAGAAAACCCTGTGGCACAAAAGGGATACCTCATGGCGCAAGAGGGAGCCAGTATGGCGCAAGAGGGAGCCAGTATGGCGCAAGAAGGAATGCTTATGGAACAACAACATCCTTCTTGGTCGATCCTTTTATCAGATAGCGCAACAAGGTCCCCTTGTTGCTCTATATCACTCCCAAGTGCTCCAAACCTCTTCCAGGTGCTCCAAACCCCCCTTTATATAATATGTTCCTTTGTCACTTGATCCGTTCCTTTTTCAGATGATTCATTCCCTTCTCAGATGATCCATTCCTTTGTCACATGCTCCATGAACCCCAAGTGCTCCATTATGATCGCAAGAATTAAAATAAGATGAAAAATTTTGAAAAAAAATATCCTTCAAATGATTTTCTCACAAATTAACCAAGAAATACATGTCACTAAGGCACAAGCTTGCTTTCGGTACGTCAAATGCTTGCCAATCTGATGTACACCTCTCAAGATCAACCCAAGCATACATGTATTCATCTACTTGTCAATATACAATGCAAAAATGTTCTTGAAACAGAAACTTCTCAAATCTCACATAAATTCACCCTAACTTTCATGTCAAACTCAAACTTCAACTATTCCTCTTCAATGTTTTGGTAAATCAATATCTTAAGTGAAAGATTTTGTTCCAAAGATTAAAAATAGATGTTATGGATGAAGCAATTTACAAAGAGTTTGGGTTTAAGCAAGAGAGGTGTATAATATTATGGGATAGTAAAACTGATATACTTCTTGCAACAAATTCAAACTTTCATTTAAAGTAGAAAAACATTAATTTATAGTACCACTGGATTCATGATACGTTGGAATCCCAAGCGTTCACCACAGAGAAAGTGAAAGTCGATACCGATTTGAATGGTTTCAATGACAAAGTGTTTGCCTAATACTAAACATGATAGTTGTTGAGAGATTGTGGGTATTAGGGAATCTTCAACGTACTCAAGATAGGAGTTTCTTGGGTTTAGGCTTCACTCCTAGTTGGGTTGCCAATTTATGTTTTCATTTTAATTTTAAGTGCTTGGGATTTGTTGAATAATAGGACTAAGTTTGCTAGGCCGACTAGTATTAGAAACAAGGGCTTCTTTGTGTGAAAAACTTTTGAAGGGGATTGGAGAGATGCAAGAATTTTTTAGGGTACTTAAAAAATCATCCAGTTCTAGGCAGCCGTCGGAGAAACGTCAGTGCGAATTTGTAACCATCGAAGTGATTTGTATACATCAATGTTTCTCCATACACAACAATTTATGTTTTATAGAGTGGTACAATACAACATTTTAAAACACAAATTTTTGTGTACGGAAAAAACACCTTTGTGTATAAATAAGCTCCCTTCATATATGTATGAAGTTTGGGTCATAGGATCGAGACATATAGTTCTTTAATATGGAAGGTGGACTTCTACACATGCATGTAGTTGTTCGAATATGTTTTTATGTTGATGTTGTTTTATGAAGAAACTATACAACTTGATTTATGCTTCAAGGGTTGTTTTAACCTTACTAATTGGT